CTGATAGCTCAATAAGCTTGAAATTTTTCCCTCATATTCCTCAGTATGTTGAGGGTGCAAGTATTTTCTTTAAAATTTGATATTGCCTGTATAATTATTACTAACCTAAAGTAAGCAAATTGTATGAGCTGAGGATTAATAGCACACAGAGATGCTGAGAACTGGTCCTGCTTTCTAATTGATCTCTTTAAAAATATAGGCGGCATTAATTATTCATTAACTCATTCTGTTGTTTGGTTCCTCCCTGCTATTCAACCTGTGTTAGTGGTGCCCGGATATCACTGTATACTTTCTTTGTCGCGCCTATAAGATAAGACGTATGTGTAAGTGTTTGAATAACTGACCTGACTGTTAGCTCATATCTCATGTGCGCGATGAGGGTCAATTCGTTCTATGGCAAGTTCCTATAAGCTTGTCGCCCCGCCGTGGTGGTCTAGTGGCTAAGGTACTCGGCTGCTGACCCGCAGGTCGCGGGTTCGATTCCCGGCTGCGGCGGCTGCATTTCCGATGGAGGCGGAAATGTTGTAGGCCCGTGTACTTAGATTTGGGTGCACGTCAAAGAACCCCAGGTGGTCAAAATTTCCGGAGCCCTCCACTACGGCGTCTCTCATAATCAAATGGTGGTTTTGGGACGTTAAACCCCACAAATCAATCAATCAATCAATCAATCAATCAATCAATCAATCAATCAATCAATCAATAAGCTTGTATGTTTGCCAAAGTGCTCCCGAGTCATGAAGAAATAATAATTAATTGATTATTGACATCTAATTATGAACAATTCGCGGTATCTCGGGAGACATAGCAAAAGGATCCGAAAGGCGCCTTGCTGTAGGCTATGCTATCCCTAGAGAGCAATACTGCGATTACTTTCATATCAACACGGAATTGTGCAACAAACAATGCGAAAGTGTGCATGGAAATAGCATAAGAGAAAAGAACTATAGTATTCACTTTTGAGATGTCAACAAGAAAGAAATGCAAAAAAATGTAATACGTAGGTGTTTTTCTCGATTTTAAATATACCATAGAACAATGGAACACAGTTTAATATAACCTAGCGCTATCAATATAACGCAGCAAAAAGTAATTACCTAATTATGTTAAAATTGCGTAGTTTAGATTCTATATATCAATGAATGCGAGTACATTGCGCCAGCTGTTTGTGTGCGGTATTAATGATGTTAGTTTATGTGGGCCAGAATTTATGCGCGATCTGGACTTCATAAATTGAAACTTTACGCAATGCCGTTTACGTCTGACAGTATAGTTTCGTTACATGAGCGTCCGATGATACCTGTATTGACACATGAGTGCCAATTTCGATGTAGGGGAGTTTTTTATCGGTGTTATCTTGTAGGTGCTGTACTAAAGATCTACGCTTAATATTAGGGACATTACCAGCTTCTCACGTAGCTCACTTTTGTAAGGACAAAAGAAAAGTTATGGTTGTCTTGGTAGTTGTAGACCGCAAAAGAATGTATGAAACGAGAGTGCACAAAGGAATATATCTTTAATATCTCAGTAAGCACATTTTGACCAAAAATAGTTGCCGATGATTAACCTACTTTACGCCGGAATTCTTTATAGAACACTCATATTAGAAAATAGTGTACAAACGACTGCACGTTGTATATTAATGGGTATTGCTTTTAAATTAAATGCGAGTTTTATTATCTCACTATTCCTAGCAAATGCAAAAATAATGGCGCAGTCGCTTGCACAAGCGGATAAAAAAAATTCATTCTCGAAATAAATTTCATTTGTGATGCTTGAAGGGTTCCACTATTGCAAAGAAAATTGGTTGCGCTCAAGCTACACATGGAGCAGAAGGAGATGTACGAGGGGTGAACTTAAGCTAACTTTATTTTTTTCTCTGTGAATGCGTATGCACATTCACCAGCATAGTAAAAAGAGTAATTACATTGTCGCCCTCTGCAGTTTACAACAGACCGTGCAGGAACCTTGTTTGCAGAAAACTGAAAACTATATATGATTGCCTTTAACCTATATAGTCGTCCCCATTTAAAAAGATATATAACAAATCCACAACTTCCCGGATATTTCAAAGATTTCGCTAAAATCTCGATATCTGGAACATTTTCCATGTAAGTATGAACCAACTTGCCCAGATAAAAATTTTAACACCGGAGCGGGTAGTGCTAGGAAAAACACCGTTAGTAGTGACAAAGGGTTATTAAAATCATGAATTTTGCGCGCTTTTCTCTTGTCCCCTTGTCCATGTTCTGCTTGATTTTCAGAAAACCTGCCCCCAGTTGTCCTGGGGGGGATGAAATAACTTAGATGGGGGAGAGTGTGAGTACATAATGAGAGAGAAACAGAGACACAAAAGAGAGATAGAAAATACATAGAGAGAGACACAGAAGGAAATCAAGACGTCCAGAAGAACGAGGACGGAGAGAAAAAGAGAGAAAGAAAAACAAAGAAAAAAGAAAGGTCACACCGCAGCCTTGTTTATTATAGTATAGCAAGGAGGTAGAAGAAAAGAGTCAGCGTGAAGAGTAGAACGAGGAGCAGGGAACAAGAAAATTGGAAGGAAGTGAAACGAAGCATAGCCATATATGGTAACTATAGCAATGAGTGGGAAAGGGAAGTTAAAGTTTGAATTAGAGGTAAACCATGAGCTCAACTCTTTTTTAAAAAGTGTTCGCACGAATAGTAGAATATTGCTTCTCATATTTTATTATACCGTCATTATTTTTTAATAATCTATATTTAAATTGGATGGCTCCTAAGGCAAGCTCTGACTGCAAGAACAGCCCGTCAAGTTGAGAATCACCCAAGGAGCTTACTTTCTTTCAGAAAGCTTCAGTTTTTGAACCATCAGCGAGTTTATTTCGAATTATTATGAAGTATAAAAATGAATTTATTCCCAGGAATTGAGCCCATCGGCACGTGGCGCCATTTCTCGGTAGCAGGAACGGCAGCCTGCCGTAACTGAATGGAGAATAGATGAAAAAAATTTTGTCTTAAAAAAAAAACTAGTTATCAAAAACGACTCCAGGCTAAACGTAGCAGAGACCCGCTGGTACATTTTGGTAAAATTTAAGTATCGCACTGCAAAGCCTGTGGCTTCCTAGGACAATTGAACGCCGCCAATAGAAACACACTGAATTGTATTGTTAAATATCAAACGCTGTGGGAAGCCGCATGGTTTGTAGTGCAGCTCTGTAACTTTGCCAGATTGTACAGGTAAGTATCTGCTCTATAAAACTGGGAGTCGTTTTTGATAGCTAGCGCGCGTTTTGTCTGATATGATATTTTTTTCTGCCTATTTTTCATTCAGTTACGGCAGGCTGCCACTGCGACCCACTAGAGATGGCGCTACGGGCTCATGTCTCCCAATCCTGGTCATGCTCACCTTCGCAAAAATCTTCACATTTCCAGCGAGTATAGAAGTTGTTTTGGTTCCCACCGCATCCACCGTAAATGAACTTGACGCACTTGCCTTTATTCTTATCAAAATACCACCTTGGAAACGCCGCTCTGCAATTTCCCACAAGCTTTTTCAGATGGCAGGTCTTATTTGGTGGGAGCTTCTCTGAAGTTTGATTACCTGTAGTGAAAGAAAATAACATTCTGTAAGCATTAGACACCCAAATCAATAAATATACTTGAAAGTATAAGGCAGCAAAGTCGTGCTGAATCACTCAACACTTTTCAGGCTATGAGTTGCGCTGTCCCCGTTCTTCTCCTATACGTTAGATACATTAGTGCACAGAAACAGCTTTTACGGCTTACCGATATTAGCTATGGCTTAAAACAAATATTACCTTTCCCAGCAAATTGCACTGGGTAGTACATCTATTTTTTAATCTTCCAGCTTTGTTTTTACACTCCTCCTTCTTTCAATTTGTACGAACATTTTGGGATATCTCACGTATCGTGAGAAGAAATGATGTGTGAATCATGCATAAAAGCTTGTTACATGGCACTTTTAGCAATGATTGTTTCTAATTTGCTTAATTTATTGTTTGAGTTATTTTACTTATTTCCTATTTCCGTAGTTTGCACTTCCCTAATTCAAATTTTTAATTTTTCTTTTATTCATTGCCCTCATCAATTTACTAGACGTAAGGTAACAAAATTAAAGTATTTTTGTTAGAAATACGCGGTTCTTGGCCAACCCTAGCGTGGGTGTGTGCGACAGATTCTAGGTTTTACTACTACTACTACCACTGTATACTTCTACTAGTTACAAGGCCGGTGGAAGTATTACTCGGTAAACGTGTAATGGGGATCACATTTACGCGAAAGTGACAGAAGCGAGTATATTTACATTATTTACAAATAACTGTGACACCGTAAGGCTACAAGAATATCGCACTACATAAAAGTTCGTTCGCTTTTATGTCTGGCACGGTGGGTTCATGCAACATGTTTCGTCACATAACCCCCGGCGGACAAAGCGCCGTCACGGTGCCTTCAAACCATTCTGGACTGGCAGTGTTTTAGGTACGACACATTAACGACATCAGTAGGTGACGTAGGACAAGACGAGTGTTGATGAACAGAAGGGATGTGGTAGTTGACGTGCATGACCTTGCTGGGAACATTGTGGGGTCCTGTGTATCGAGGGAGGAGCTTCTTGCACAAACCTTTGTGACGATGCAGAATCCAGAGCCGGATGCGAGATTCAGGGAGGTAGTCGTCATCACAATGCTGCATTTCGTAGCGCTTCTTTTGTGTGGCCTGAGAATCACAGAGCCTAATGAGGGTGATTCGGCGAGCCACGAGGGTTTGAGAAGCGACATCCTGTGATTACACGGTTGATATAATGGTATTAAAAGAAAGGAGAGTTACGAATGGCAATGTCCGGTTGCGGCCGCACCGAAAAAGAGTGAGTAAATGGCTGTCTCACGTCTGGACGAATTGTATGCAAAAGTGACGCAGAGCAGTGTGGCTTCCAAGTCACGGTGGTGAGGAGAGACGTACATCGACAACATATCCGTGAGAATTGGGCTGAGGCGCTCGGTAAGACCATTGGTTTGTAGATGGTAGGTTGTAGTAGGTTGACGCTCAGAAGAGCAGCTACGAAAAATTTAGTTGATGGTTCTTGCGTGGAAGCAGCGCCCATAATCCGTAAGAAGCTTGTACGGAGCCGCGTGTTGAAGAATGGCGTCGTTAAGCAGAAAATCGGCGATGTTTGTTGCGCAGCTAGTTGGCAAGACATGTCTTAAATCAAACCTGGTCGCTTAGTCAGTTGCCGCAGCAATAAATCCTGATACGGATGTAGGAAAAGGTCCGAGAAAGTCGGCAAATGCGCGAAAGAATTTTTCCGGTTGTACGTTGATAGGTTTGAGCAGGCCAACTTTGGGGAGAGCGGGACGTTTGCGACACTGGCAGAGCTCGTATACGGCGATATATTGGCGCACAGAACGTTGCAGGTCAGGCCATACAAAACGTAGCCTCATGTGGTCATAGGTGCCCAGGTGGCCCGTTGTCGGAACGTCATGTATACGTAGATGCTAAGGAACGGTAGCATTGAGGTGTCGTGGAACAACTACACAAAAATCCGTATACCATCAGGCGGCGATACAGCTGCGGCGATACAAAACGCCACTTCATGCGACAATTTGGCAGAAAAAAGGGCCGGAACTTCCCGAGGAGACTTGCCGAATGGCGATTTTGAGGGTTGCACCCATACGCTCTTCTGTGCCAATGTCACGCAGATCCAATGTAGCGAGAATAAAGTAGTACTTTTTATGTTCATTGAGGTTAGCAAGGTCTATTAGATAACTCTAGAGACAATCGGCATCTGTCTAGGTAGCAGCTTGGCAAATTTGTAAATTGTGTCGAAGGAATACTTTTTAAGACGCAGAGCCCAGCGACCAAGGTGACCAGCTGGACTACAGGCGATGACAACCAACACAAAGCGTGGTGGTCAGTAACAAGAGAAAACCGATGGCCCTACAAGTAATGGCGAAGTCTTGTGTCCTCCCAGTTATGAAATGGCTCCATTGAGACGTGTAGTGAAGACGGCCTGAATACTCAATAACACGTGTTTGGCTACCGTTGTTATGAGTGCGCGGATGGTGCCGATTCCGTGCCCATTCGCATGCGCGTAAACTTTAGCGGCCGCAGATGGGTCGAAGTGAGCCAGTATTGGTGGTGGACTGAGCCAGATGATCAGCGTTGAAAACGCAGCTGCTTGGTCTTGGTTCTACGAGAAAGTTACGTCCTTTTTGAGAAGATCAGAAAATAGTCTGGAAATTGTGGTAAAATTGCGTATAAAACGTCGAAAGTACGAGGAAAGCAAAAAAAGAATAATAACTCTGCACATGGTTAGTAAAGGAAGGCCATGGGAGGTGCTCCACAGCGCTAATCTTATTAGGGTCTGGTTGTACACCCGTAGTCTTACAAACAGACCATACAAAGTTATTTGTTGCAGACGGAAGTTGCACTTTATGAAGTTCAATTTGAGCCCTGCTGCGCGATAAACAGCTATAATTGTGGACAAACGAGTTAGATGCCTTTAAAACGTTAGGGAAAGACACTGACATCGTTGAAGTAACAAAGACAGGCGAACCAAAGGCGAACCAATAAATGCGATAACAACAAATTGGAATGGCACGCGAAGATTGGCAAGCAGATCGAAACGGGCCCCGCGTTGCCCATGCACAATTGATGCACAAAACGTACTCACAGGTACAGATGAGCGACAATAAGTGTCTCCTTTACGTCGCTGTGTCTAAAAAGCGCGCCATTGTCGCAAATGGAGACTGTGCAACAATTGCAGTGACCTTAGTGTGGCGGTAATTACAACAGAATCGGTAACCACAACAGAAATGCAGGTGGGGGCTTAACTCTCTCGTTGGTCTGTGCCCTCTGGCGGCAGCGGTAGCAGAGGGTGGACTTGAGCTTGGTGCAGACGTCCGCGCGATCGCCAGGAGTTCAGTTCGCGCAGGCCCCGACTTTCGGTTGGAACGGGTAGCAGCAGTAGACGAGGCAATGAAGACGATTGATGAGGGGAGGTTGGTAGTGCTTACAAAGGTGACGAAGATGGATTTTGAGCGCCCCATCTAGCGCGCATCGGCGATGGCGTAGGGGGTGTTCACATTCATCGATTGGAGATCTTGCATGATCTCGTCCTGAGTTTGGGAGTCCACGGCGTTGTAGATGATGTCGTGGAGGGCGTTGTCTGGTGCCGCCATGTAGACACGTGGTAAGAGATAGTACCCAAGCGAAGTTCTCATACATGAAGGTAGAGACGGGCGCTTGACTGAGATGGGTTGCTGACAGTGAGTTGTTGTACGGTTTGATGCGTGGCCAGCGGTGCGGGCGGTGCGTAGTCGATGGTGGTGAGACTGCAGAGGGTTTGGAGCAGGATTCCGTTAGTTGCAGTGCGGATGACAAGTATCCCTACTGGTCTGAAGACGATTTTGAAGTCTTCCGCTGGGAGTCAAAGGAGGGGAGCGTAAATTCGAAGAGTGGGAGCGCTGCGGTGGTGTTGGCGGTGGAGTAGTCTTCAACGACGGGGTTGACGAAGGCGACGTCGAGGTGATGGGCCGGTGGACCGCGGCTGCACGGTGTGCTTTCATGGTATGGATCCAGCGTGACTTAGCTTCAAGCTCAGTTGCGGTGATCGATTCGCCGTAGACTTGATAATCCATGTCGGTGACTTGAATATTTGCGGACACTTTCGGTGAAGGCGGCGAAACGCGAGTAGCGGCAGCCGCGTTGCGCAGGGGCGCGTATAGCCGAGCGGCGCACAATAGCCTCGGCGCATTGGCGGCGTGGCAGAGCACAAGCATTGTTAAGACTGGTTGAAACGGGAGTAATTCAGCTCCGAAGGTGTAAAACTGATCCGCTCATTTTCGCCGATGCGTTTCACGAAGAAATCGCGAAGAGTTGCAGTGAAACGGGCCATGAAGTACGAAGCCCATGCGAGGCACGTCCGTGCAGCGGATCTTGCGTCTTATCGCGCAGCGTGCGTCGTGTCACAGCGGGCCTTGTGCATCGGCTTGCGGTCCTGGTCGTCTCGGCACGAGCGCGACAATACAACCAGTGCAGAAACACAGGACCCTGCGGCGAATCCGTAACGGACTGAGGTGCAATGGCTCTGGTGTCAGAACCGGCACATCGTAGGCAGGAGCCGTGAACTCCGGGTTTGAAGGTGTCTCCTGCGATGGGTCAGTGGACGCGGGAAGGTGACCTCTTTCGCCTGCGTGGTCAGTTGTCGGCAGGGGATGGTCTGAAATGGCTGTGGTGCGGGAAGCGTGCACGTGGAGAGATGAGACAATTGTGTAGCTGTGCCACTTTTTAGAAACAGTACGACGTTTGATGCCATAATGCTGGAGCACGACATCTGACTGTTCATCGTAAATGCGAGAGCTCCACGAGAAGAACGTTAGGCGGTGTTAAAAGTTATGTGGAAAAAGACATTCCAATACCTCGTACACGAACTCTTGGATCCAGATGTCGCAATCCAAGGCCACCGCGGACTCCTAGAACCATGACTCTAGGCGAGAGGTGCGGAATGGTACCAGTGGCGGCCTGAACTGGCTTGAACATGGCCGCTGAACTCGGCGGCAGTTGTGCTGAGGTGGTGGCTTGTCCGTGGTCACCAGACGTAGGAACGTGACGGCGTCTGACGTAGACAAGCCGTTGTCACTAGTTTAATCAGCAGACGAAGGCGTATGACTTTGGAAGGAAATGAGACGCACGAAGCAGAGCGGTAACCATGGCGCCCACCTACAGCGAAAAGCACCGGAACGTTCTATCGACAATTTTTACGGACAGTAGGATTTCCTCTTTTCTGGGCTGCTGCACGAGAGTACAAAAACCGACGTCACAGTATCGGCTGTGCATTTTTTGGGGGGTCACGCGCACTAACAACAGCCCAGAGAGAACTATGGCAGCGCCAAGGGAGCGTTCACTAAAAAGGTGTATACTCGGCGACATCTTTCTGAGGCAGCACAGTCAAGGCTACGAAGCCCAAGCACGCGCCTTTTACAGCGAAAGCTGTTAGGAGATCGCAACACGGGTCACCCGTGGTGCCGTAGTTGTCCGGCGCCGGTATCCGCAACCACTGTTACACAAAATAAGAAAGAAAAACTCAAACACCAAGGGCATAGTGGGATTCGAACTTAGGCTCACTGCATGCCAACCAGTATTCTACCGCTGAGCCACGCCAGTACTTGGACTCGTTCGCACACTTTCCTTAGGCAGGCTTGATGTTGGGAAAGGAATCGCATTATTTTGAGTAATGAAGCGTTTTAAAACAGCAATAGAACGACCAGGCGCCCCACAATACGAATTGCGTACCGAGTGGCTCGTCCGATGCTCCAATGATGACGATGATCATTCCTGGAAGAATGGCACTACGCACCACGAGGGATCAGCCACGAGTTGAGCGGCAAATTGCTCCAATTCATTACAAATGCTTTTTTTTCATCACCTATCACTTCACTTCAGGCGCAATTCTTCATCGTCGCCAGCTACTGCATGGAACTTGAAATTTGAACAAAATTCATTGCAAGTGTTTAGCGGATACCACGCTTCTCGGAAGAATGACGAAAGATTGCAGCATAGGGAATGCCGGCCTATTACACATAAATTAAGATTATGTATGGCGTAGTAGGTACCCAGAAAGTGTGGTTTTAGCATTTACCCAAAGAGTGTTTAGAAAAAGCTCTAAAACGCTGCTCTTGTCGTTTTCGCTGTGACTGTGCTGGCCGTTCCACGCCGGCCTTGGCATTTTTTTCGTTTTTTTGTACTGCGCTTCGGCATGTAGTCAATGAACGCTAGCCTTTATGTACCATGTAGCATAAAAGAAAACATAAAAGTGAAAGATACAAATAATATGTTGAAGAATGTTCGAATTGTTATTGGGAACCTAATACCGCTCAGCATTTTCGTTTTTTGCTCTTTCTGGTTTTCTATTTCTCTGTTGTCATTTCAGCTTTTTTCTGCCCCGGTAAACAATGAGCGCGTCGCTAGGTTACTTCAGGCTTAGGATAGTGTCACAAAGATGCCTTTGGTGTTGTGTGCAATTTCATTTTAATTACTCAAAGAGTAGCCTTTTATTCTGATATTTAAAATCCTTCGTTATTTCAAGAAGGTAGAACCGAACTAATTGATTGATTTGTGGGGTTTTACGTCCCAAAACCACCATATTATCATGAGAGACACCGTATTGGAGGGCTCCGGAAATTTCGACCACCTGGGGTTCTTTAACGTGCACCCAAATTTGAGTACACGGGCCTACAACATTTCCGCCTCCATCGGAAATGCAGCCGCCACAGCCGGGATTTGATTCCGCGACCTGCGGGTCAGTAGCCGAGTACCTTAACCACTAGACCACCGTGGCGGGGCAGAACCGAACTAAGTTCTTGAAAATCGTTGCCATCAGGTTCATTCATGTCAGTCTGAATACAAGATCAAAAGTATAATACTTGAAATTTAAGTTTATTGTATTACGTGTTATTTCCAATTCATTCCTTTATTTTTAAAATCAAGTACCATTTTTATATTACTTTCAAAAGTCTCAAAGTTGCAATATTGGCCTATTCCCCAAATTGGGTACATGCCATATTTTGTAGGAAAAAACAAACAAACAAAGCAGCAAGTTAACATCGAAACTTGTGAGCGAGCATAAGTGCGTGTTCGATAGGTGATCTGTATTCATCGAGCAGGTAGAAACAAAGACAGTGGTGCGTCGCAAAATACATTGTTTCCCGCACATTCAATCACCGAGAACTTGTGTGCAAGTAATACCATCTGCAAAAGTGGGACTTTCATCGCGATAGCCGCCTTGAAGGTGACGCCGGCGACCTGCAATTCTTCAGGAAGACGAGCTGCTTGAAAGCGAAATGGCGATTGGACATTGTACGTAAAATCAATGACTTTTTTGCTGAATTGCGTTGCATACGTGGTCGGCGTTTCGTCTGCCTGATACAATCACGATGAAGATCGCGCACTGTAACATCGTACCAGTCAGCGTTTATGAAGGAAGTGGTTCATTGCGCTTTACGATGACAGAAATTTAGGACCCCCGTTTCCTGCGGTGCTTGTTATGTCGGAACGACCGGAAGGTGTCTGGACGATCGGCTGAGCGAACACGCCAATAATGTTAGAAACGGGAAAGATGGTTTTCTTGCTCAGCACTGCACTGAGTACAACTGTGTGGCCCTTTTCAAGAACACAGTGACGCTGTACAAGCACAGGGATGAGCGCAACTGAGTCATTGTCGTGGCCACGCATATGGCACGAGAACAGGTGTTATACATTAGAAAGCCCTTTGTGTCTCTGTCCGAGAAGGAACTAAGGTTCCTCGAAGGTTTCAGTGCGCGCAAGTAGTTATATTACTTTTACTTTTCTGTTTCGTTTCCTTATAGACTTTTCTTTGCCTTTTTCTGTGCTTTAGTTTTTTTTCCCTTACTCATGTATTGCTCTTTGTGCCACGTGGTTTTTTGTCACATGCTTTACTGTCTCCTCTATTTGTTTTCGCGCTCTGTGCAATAAACTAAGTTGGAAGTTAGCGCTCGTGTCCTTCGTGCCCTTCTTGTCTCTTTGTCGTCATTCTGTTCTCGCGCTCTAACTATCATCATGTCATGCCAACTAGCCCAAGATGCCTCACTTCTAAGGGGGAACTAGTTGCGGACATATACGAAGGCGCACAAGACGTGTAGAAATGGTACCCATTACTTGCCAACTTGGAGTACACAAGCGCTAGGTATATATGTCTGTTTTCACGCAATCAAAGTGGATATCGAGTGACTTCTAGGTTTTTGAATTATGATTCTAGGCGCATAGGACATGTCCTTCAGCAAGAGGCCGACCTTTTCACCCACTTACGACACTGCCTTGTCTAGCCCTGTTTGTGGAAGCCGGAAAAGCGACACGGGCGGTGATTGATGTTCTTTCGACATCTGGCGACATCTGAAATCAGTGCACATGTGTGCTTAGTGCAGATAATGTCGTGGACTTTGGTATAGCAATGTTTTGATGTCTTTTTACGGGATGCATGACAAACGCATGCTATGACCTCAACTTTAGATTCAGAGAACGCATCCTTGGTACGACCTACTTCGTCTTGACAATTATCAATCAACAAAATGAATTCATTTCAAATAAATATGTGCGTAAGTAAGCAAAAGTTAAATATAATTTCATCCAGACAGTAAATTAAAGGTATTGTTTTCTTTTTAGACACAATATTATCGAAAACTAAGAAACAATAATGCCAGGAGAAGTATAGGAGATGCTATTAGAAGCAATTGTTATGTAAATTGTCAATAACGAAAAGTGAACGAAAAGATTGCCTGTCACCGGCAGGCTCCACACCTGCGACCACCTGCGACCTTCGAATAACGTGTCTGATGCTCTACCACTAAGTTATGGTGGTGGTCAATTCTCCGTTTACTTTTCATGGGGCACATATGTGAATTTAAGCGTGGTAGCGTCAGTCAGCCCCACCTGTTACCCTCGCGGCGAGTGTTGAACACTCATTACGCCTGTTTACGCCACGTAGCACGTGATCTTATCACGAACTGGCAGCTGACCAATAATACTTCGCAAACTACCTGAAGGCACCAAGTCTGTTAGAACGAGACGCTCGCTATGATTGATGGAAATAAGTGCAAATTCAAGGGATCATTTACTTTATTAAAAGGCATCGATAGCGTTAGTTCCTATTAATACTGTGCATAACAAAAAAAAACAGCCTTTAAATTTACACTCATTTCCTTCATTCATAGGGAGGGTCTCGTTCTGGCAGACTTGATGCCTTCTGGTAGCATGTGAGGGATTACTGGTCAGATAATAATAATAAGCTTCACGTGCTACGTGATTCCAACACGCAAAATGATTGTTCCACACTCACCGCAATGGCAACAGGCAGGGATTTACGGATTCTCCCGCGTCTAAATGCTCATATACACCCCATGAAAAGTAAACGGAGGGATGAACGCCACCGTAGCTTAGTGGTAGAGCATCGGACACGTTATTCGAAGGTCACAGGTTTGGATCCTGTGGGTGCCAAGTCATTGCTTCGTCCACTTTTCTTACTTCCCATTTATATTAATATTACCGCTAATAACTTCCCATATGCACATTTTGGCATTATTGTCTGTTAGTTCTCATTACCTTTGTTTCATAGAAACTGAAACTTCACCTTTTCTTACCTTGACATAATTTTTGACATTGCTGCTTAGTGTCAAAGTTATTTCCATTTCCCTCACATCCACCGTAGGTGAAATTTTGGCATTCGCGTGCAGTGTGGTTGTAAAACCACTTGGGTATTGAAGCCCTACATGGTCCGTCATCCAATTTCATAAAGCATTCTGTGCTTGCATTCAGTGTTTCAATTGTTGCGACAACCAAAATACCTGAAATACATAGAAGAGACGAGCTGTTGTAATATAACTTTGGATAAGGCCATTAGAATATTTACTCCTAAAAAATACTTTCAGTTCAAGCAGAAGCGACACTTTGAAATGCGCTACACTAGATGACTTCCGTTTACTGACGCTTTCTTATATTCAGAATATCCACAGAATTCACAATTACCTGAAAGAAAACCAGCTGGCGTGTTTCATTCCAGCCTATCTAAACTCTCCACCGAAGCTTCACAAAAACGTTCATAACGGCACTACAGAAACGATACACCAATCAACCAGCTACGTAAAAATGTTCAGGCTAAAGTAACATTAAGACAATTTTATCCACAAGCTCGCGAAACACCTATTTTGACTGTTGTAGAAGCTAACCCGGGTTCATATATTCAAGGGTGTCACAGTTCTTTTGTTGCTTTTTATGTTTAGGTATTTCGAAAATGAACAGCAATGCGTGACCGAACTTTGCATCGAAGAAAGACTAGTGTCATTGACGCTAGAGTTTGGTATTGTTGTTAGCATAAGGTACATTGTAATATAAAGTGCGTCAAATTAAGCAGTCACAAAACGCCAGAATTTTAGCTCGTGGTACAATTTGCTGTAATATAAATTAAAATGCGATGTAAGAAGGTATAACATGGAGAGAATTGAACACGCTCTGAAAAACGGGGGAAGCGTCAAAGCAGTGAAGAGGTAACTTGGGATAGGCAAAAGTCAGATGTATGCACTAAGGGACAAAGAAGGCAAAATAACTACCAATATGTTTAGGATAGTTAAAATAGCGGAGGAGTTTTACAGAGATCTGTACAGTAGCCGAGACAACCACGACCTTAATACTATAAGAACTAGCAGTAACCCAGATGACACCCCACCAGTAATGATAGAAGAAGTCAGAAAAGCTTTGGAGAGCATGTAAAGAGGCAAAGCTGCTGGTGAGGATCAGGTAACACCAGATGTGCTGAAAGATGGAGGACAGATTGTGTTAGAAAACTAGCCACCCTGTTTACGAGGTGTCTCCTGACGGGAAGAGTACCAGAGTCTTGGAAGAACGCTAACATCATCTTAATACATAAGAAAGGAGATGACAAGGACTTGAAGAATTACAGGCCGATCAGCTTGCTCTCTGTAGTATACAAGCTATTTACAAACGTAATTGCTAACAGAGTAAAGAAAACATTAGAATTCAATCAACCAAAGGAACAAGCAGGATTTAGAACAGGCTACTCAACAATTGACCACATTCATACTATCAATCAGGTAATAGAGAAATGCTCAGAGTATAACCAACCACTATACATAGCCCTCATAGATCACGAGAAGGCGTTTGATTCAGTAGAAATATCAGCCGTCATGCAGACACTGCGAAATCAGGGTAGATGAAGTATATATAAACATTGTGGAAGAAATCTACAGGGGATCAACTGCTACCATAGTGCTTCATAAAGAAAGCAACAGAATACCAAGCAAGAAGGGTGTAAGGCAGGGGGACACAATCTCCCTAGTGCTATTCACCGCGTGCTTACAGGAGGTTTTCAGAAGCCTAGAATGGGAACAGTTAGGGATAAGAGTTAATGGAGAATACCTTAGTAACCTGTGCTTCGCCGATGACATTGCATTGCTGAGTAACTCAGGAGACGAATCGCAACTCATGAATACAGAGTTAGATAAAGAGAGCGGAAAGGTGGGTCTTAAAATTAATCTGCAGAAAACGAAAGTAATGTACAACAACCTCGAAAAAAAGCAGCGCTTTGAGATAGGTAATACTGCACTTCAAGTTGTAAAATACTATGTCTACTTAGGGCAGGTAATAACCGTGGAGCCGAACCACGACATTGAAGTAACTAGAAGAATAAGAATGGGGTGGAGCACATTTGGCTAGCAATCTCAAATTATGACAGGTAGATTGCCACTATCACTCAAGAGAAAGGTATATAACAGCTGTATCTTGACGGTACTTAGATACGGAGCAGAAACCTGGAGACTTACAAAGAGGGTTCAGCTTAAATTGAGGACGACGCAGCGAGCAATGAAAAGAAAAAATGATAGGTGTAACCTTAAGTGACAAGAAGAGAGCAGAGTGGATTAGGGAACAAACGGGAGTTAAGGATATCACAGCTGAAATCAAGAAGAAATGGACATGAGCCGGGCATGTAGCGCGTAGACAGGGTAACCGCTGGTCATTAAGGGTAACTAACTGGATTCCCAGAGAAGGGAAGCGGGTTAGGGGGAGACAGAAGGTTAGGTGGGCAGATGAGATTAAGAAATTTGCGGGTATAAATTGGCAGCAGCAAGCACAGGACCGGGTCAACTGGCGGAACAAGGGAGAGGCCTTTGTTCTGCAGTGGACGTAGTCAGGCTGATGATGATGATGATGATGATGATGATGATGATGATGATAAATTAAAAAAGGGCATCGCCTCTATGAAGCTCTAGTAGAAAATAATTGGAAAAGGCATCTGTGCTGAAGTGGACATAGAATAGGCTCTGTACAAAGAAGATGAAAGGAAAAAATGTTGGATACGTCTTAGTGCAGGCGTGTCTAATCACCGATCTTTTGATACGTGCGATAGGTGTTCGCACCACGTGTTCTTGTAAAGGCTGTGCTGCAGTGTGCAAAAGACATTTATGACACACTGCGGCAATGTCTTCTCTAACCAATATTGACGCATCTTGTTTCCAGGAGCTGGTACAAACTTTTCAAATGCGAAGCGTATCTTTGCGTACTGCAGGAACTTTGAGTATCTATCTATCTATCTATCTATCTATCTATCTATCTATCTATCTATCTATCTATCTATCTATCTATCTATCTATCTATCTATCTATCTATCTATCTATCTATCTATCTATCTATCTATCTATCTATCTATCTATCTATCTATCTATCTGTCTGTCTGTCTGTCTGTCTGTCTGTCTGTCTGTCTGTCTGTCTGTCTCTCTGTCTGTCTGTCCGTCCGTCCGTCCGCCCATCTATCTATCTAATCTATCTATCTATCTATCTATCTATCTATCTATCTATCTATCTATCTATCTATCTATCTATCTATCTATCTATCTATCTATCTATCTATCTATCTATCTATCTATCTATCTATCTATCTATCTATCTATCTATCTATCTATCTATCTATCTATCTATCTATCTATCTATCTATCTATCTATCTATCTATCTATCTATCTATCTATCTATCTATCTATCTATCTATCTATCTATCTATCTATCTATCTATCTATCTATCTATCTATCTATCTATCTATCTATCTATCTATCTATCTATCTATCTATCTATCTATCTATCTATCTATCTATCTATCTATCTATCTATCTATCTATCTATCTATCTATCTATCTATCTATCTATCTATCTATCTATCTATCTATCTATCTATCTATCTATCTATCTATCTATCTATCTATCTATCTATCTATCTATCTATCTATCTATCTGGCTGGCTGGTCATGACAAGAATAATGTCACAATCCTTTCGCGTACAATGTCAAACACTTCCCGCCAAGCAGTGGCACAAACGCACGGGCTGGTACGTGCCGCTGGTATGCGGATATGTGCCACATGTGATTACCACTTTGTATCTACCCAGAAACGGCGAAAACACACGTGGGTAATTTTAACATGTGAGCGTTAAGAAAAAAAAAACTGTCATCAGCTGCGTTGGCCCGATAAATCCGAAAAATAGCTTTCAGGGTCCCATTACGAATCGAACTCCAGCATTCTGCGTGAAAATCACGTATTCGTTCACAGAGCTACGCTATGTCTCGGAAGTGCTTTTCAAATAGACCTTACTGTTTCTGAAACTTAAATTCTTGTTGCAGCGCTGGCAATCCAATTGTCTAAACATTACATATTTACTCCTATCATAGAGTCGTTACGTCGGGTTAACGTCAATTGTAGCTAGGTGCCATTCGCTGAATTGATTTATGAAGCACTAGTCAAGGCTACCATCCTCGCGAGCCCCAGCGCGTCATATCAGCTTGCCGCTTTTAACGCAATAGCGTTAAATAGCTCGTTCCGCAGATATTCCGGCGGTGGTGTCATAGGTTGTGAGCAAAAAATCATCATCTTATGCGTGACCGAAAATTCCAGAACGATGCAAATAAGGTAATTGACAAAAAATTCGTTGTCAGAGTGGGGACCGAACCAGGGACGTTGGGGTCCGAGTGATGATCGAACTCGGGTCGTTTGCGTGGCAACCGGATGTTCTACCACATGGCCACGCCTCTGTTTGTGAAAACAGTGAGAATATCTTCCTCTGCTTTGAAATGCAGTGAAAGTAGCTTTCGTGCTTCACAAACACAGGCGTCCTGTATACGTGCTTCTCGATTCAACATGAAATATTGCAGTAATATTGCGTGATGCAAGCGCTCATTGCCAGTGGGCTACAGAACATGTGGTTACCATAATGGGTTCGTGGTTTAAAACTGGTTAACCACTACAAAAGGCACCCACGCTACTGCGCCTAGTCCCTTAAGGTCACGTAGTCAGTGCATAGCAAGTTCGAAAAGGTTTCACGCACTAAGTATTTGATGTACGCACCAGAAACTGGACGTGGATGTCACTCACGTTCAACTCCTAAAGGTGAAGACTTAAGCTCCCCTAAATTTTTTGTGTGGCTAATCTGCACCTTGCTTTTGGCATCGTTGCGCAACTGTAAACAACTGGTTATATATAACATATGCGGTTGTTTCACGTATGTCTGTGCGTGCAGTTTTACATATCTTTTGCACCGCTTCGTGATGTTTTTTCCAATAAAGTTATAACACAGTCACCGTCCCCCTGCATGCTTCGCATAACATCGATTCCTAAGGCACGTGGAATCTGCCCGTTTTTTTGGGGGGGTGGGTGGGTGGGGGAAGCGTTTAAATCTTTGAAAAGGGGAAATAATTTCAGAGGGCGCGCAAAAAACTGTACGTGTGATGAGTGTCGGTCTAGTGATTAATACAACAGAACTGCCTTAACTGTCAAAAAGAAAAAAAATTGAAATAGTTTATTTTTTTTAATTCTTTCTAAAGTGTACGTATTCTAGTACAGTATTCTTTCTAAAGTAGACTATACGTGAGCAAGTAGTGAATGCACGCAATAACAGTTACGTACACTGCTGTAAAATGTGAGCCTAGTGGCTCTATGTCATTAGAATGTAAATTCATGACATTCGAAAGCAGCCGACAAATGACCATACAAAAAAGTGGTTGACAAAAATGTGGCTCAACTTCAGTTCAGTGACAATTTGATTTAATGAAAATAAACACACTGAATTAAGGCTCCGGTAGTGTAGTACAGTAGGCATCTGTAGAACGCACATTTGCACCGATATCTTCAGCAACTTTAGAATGCATAAGGCAGTAATGCAGTTTAAATAATTTGATATGAATGGTAACAAGGCATGCTAAACTTTACCAACTTAATCTCAAAAAAGGGTATATTTTAGTTAAATGCTCAAACAGCGCTCGGTAAACCTACTTACCCCTCAGCCATAACTTTGCAGCAAAACCGAACAGTTCCATTTCGTGCTGTCCTCTGCGACTTGACTTTTTTGACTAAAATAACATTTACGTTCACGAACTTTTAAGCTCATCATGTCGTATTTACTGCACGCTCGAATCAAATTTCACAAGTGCGAACAATAAAAATTGACTGGCGATGTCTGATTCGCATTAAATAACACATCACAGCTGCGTTTTTAAGGCCACTGGATGACACACAACGACAGGCACATGAGCAACTTTCAGTTGCTCCGGCAAATTCCGGGAAACTTGCTCCGGAAAATTGGGCGAAACTTTGCTACATGGTACACTGAACAGCCCTACTTTCACTTACACACGAGTTATAGTTTTCATTGCTATTCAAATTAACATATAAACATGTCATCCTTTCTGCAAATTCACCCACACTTAAGCGACTGATGAATCTATTGTTTCAAAGAGGACTAACTTTCCTGCTGACATAACAGTTCTTTGACGACTTTATGTTTGGCACACTAAAATTCATTAGAATAGTATAATATCTGAAGACATCATATGGAATCATCTGGAGAGAAAGTATGCGCTATGAAGGTTGAACGAAAAAGGGGTGATTCAAGAAAGACTCGGGTCTTTGATAGACGAAACCGAATGAAACCAGCAGACAATGACACTCAGGGAAGTTGTAAGACCGGTATCTGCTGGTACTAAGTGTAGGGTACCAACTATGACCTAAATACGAAAAATACAAGTGGATGAACAATCATCTTGCCGGTGGTAGAGACCGACTGAGCGTCACTGTTGTATTTAGTTTTGGATACGTTTTACACAAATTTCTTTCCTCGCATTCGTTCCTCACTAAGCGCTACTTTAAATAGAGAAATGTGTATGAGCTGGGCTGCTTCACGCATTATAACTAGGGCAGAAGTCAACGTTATTTTTCTAATAAAATATATATCGACAGTGAGTGCTCGTGCGTGCTCCTTTTCTTGCTGTGCCATCGTGATCGTCACCTTAGGTTTGAATCTAGAACCTGCTACGCAAACAATATATGTAAACCACTGTTTTAATTTAAGACTATCCGAAGGTCTTTGATGCTAGTCGCTAGTGAAATAATCGGAAAAGTGGTACAGGTAAAGTTAATTTGAACGAACATAAATAGACCTTAGCAAAGAGTTAGTTGACGTGAACTTTCATTTAACTGAAACACCTATGTTTTATACCATGTTGTCGTAAGGTGAAGGAAAGAGCTGGTGTTCACATATTTATTTAAAATTTTTTCAGTTGCCTTTAAATTTATACTTACTATAAATTTTATCGAAATTGTGCTATTTTTTTTTGCTGTGCTTGTCTGCTTAAAGCAGCTGTGGTCACAAGTTGGGTTGTCCAGGCTTACATGAATCTGCTCCGGCGCAACACTCGGTTGAAAAAAACAACAAAAACAAGTGGCTTCAGTATTCCCGAGTGCATCACTGCTTCTACACAAAATATTTTTACACAAAACCGCGTCGACCTAACTTCTCCTACCAACTGATTTGCAAATGTAGTTCACAGTGCACCTCACACACCCCGCCCACCTTCGTTTGGCTAACCTCTCTGTCCTTCCTCCTTCCATCTTCGTCCTCCTCTATATTTCATCTAGAAATTTAAACGTCCAGGTGCTGATAGCAATCCCGCCCTTACAGATATAAGGCTGCGGCATTCGTGGCCTCTGCGATTAGCTCCGGTGGGGTGCTCAAAGAGTGTGTGTATTTGATGCAGTAATCAACATTACTCCAGTGGCATAGTACGGTGCTCGAAATATGTTCGTAGAACGTAAGTGCGCTATGCACCAAGTTTCGTTAGGCTGAAGTGAGTTCACATTGAGTTCAATGGTACTTCCGCGGGGAATTCTAAAAAGAAAGTTTGCACAACGCAATAGTTTCTTTAAGTTACGTTCGTTCATGTTTCATTTCACTGTATAGAAAAAAATATTGTGTGCCATCTTAATTGCTGGCCACTAATCAAACCGGCTGAACTGCTAGCTGTATTAAAGGAGCACAGTCGTCTCGTATCCTCCAACTACTGTACCGATTGACTGCATAGTGAAAGAGCAGCTCGAAGATAAAATTAAAAAAAAAAAACGTTAACAAAGTAGCAGTTGGGGGATAATTGACAAGACAACAGAGACATCCCTGTCTTGATGCACTGCCAGGTTGGACACGGACGAGCAAAAACGAAAAACAGAAGGTGACCCACAAAGTAACAACTTTATTGCGAGAAGGGTCAGACTTTAAAAAAAAATGTGGACACTGATACGGTGAAGTCATCTGCGTTGAACGGCGTTTGTTAATAGCTGGAAAGGGTTTCCTGCGTCTTATCTAGACTTGAAGTATTGTGGAATCTAAAAGTAAATATTACTTCAGTGTCCAAGGTCCCATGCTGACCCCTGTGTGAACATTGAATAGCGATGAAAGGGAAGTAAATATGATTTTATTTAATGCCACCATTAACGAAAAAGAAAACACGCGCTTCGTACTTGCACTATAGTGTGTGTGTCTCCACAATGTGCATGTGTGTCGCTGTGTGTATGTTGAAATACTGCACGATAAAGTTTTAGAGTTGGCCTTCGATGTTTTATGCCATCTTTCGTTTAGGTCGAGGTTTGTGTGTTTGCATGTGTGTAGGTTCAGTGGGTTGAAAGAAACTCGAGAAGCATGTCACACTGTATTCCATTCGATGGCATTAAAAAGACGCTAGATTTTCTCATTATTGTATCATAGAAGGCTCTAGTGGCTTTTCATCATTTTGCAGGCAACAACCACTTAAAAAAAGTCACCAATGATTACGATACTGCTTAATGGGAATTTTGGGCACAGCTGTTTAGGTGTTTTCGTTTTGCACTAAGTTGTGGGGGTCCGCCCCGGTAACCGGGAGACCAGCGAATGCAAAGCGTGGGTGCTGCTCGTGCAGTACTCTATTTCCATATATGGTGTTGGTGAGCACTCTCGCCGCAAAAATTAGTGATGACGACATTGGCGACTGTATGACGGCGCGCACCTCTGTGGCACCGTGTAACTTGTTCTCTCGCCATTGTCGTTCCCTTCTCAAGCTGCCATCGATGTCGCCGTCTTTTATTTTCCTATGCATGCGCTCCGCGTTCATTCTCGTTCACTCTGCCATTTATGATGCCAATGCGGCTCAACGTAGGAACGGGTGCCTACGAGCTGCATTCGAAAACTTATTTATGTGGGTCAACTTGTCCTGGAAAAAATGTGGGACGCTTAACAAGAGTTGAACGCAACAGAGGCATTGCTGTTCGTAATACGTAATTCGACCACTTGGTGTATTCTTTTTAGGGGTGAAGCTCCTTAGGGCATAGACTAGTCCCGCGTTGTCGTAGCCAGCTCCTCTAGTTTTCGGAGTGTTCCCTAGATGGCGCTGGGGGTTCGCTAGTACTTTGATTGCAAACTAGACGTTGCTCGTTGCGTAAGAGACGCGTACCTGGGTTTGCGATGAGATAGTTCGAAGGTGAATTTGTGCTCGAATCTATTAAGATAGAGGTGCATTGCTCTAGTTTAATAGCATACCGCTAGAGGCGCACCTCAGCTTGAATCGCATTGCATGTGGAGATTTTTCGAGGTCGTTCGATGCGATGCGGTCTCCCTCTTGGCGGGCTTCCTTTTTCTCCGGTGGTCTGAGCGACAAGGCGGCGGACCGGAGGGCTCGAAAAGCTGCTGCCGCGCGTGCTCGCCGACAGGACCCAGAGGGAAGAGCCCGCGAAGCCAAAGATGCAGGGAAGCGCCGAGAAGCGGATCCCCATGTGCGTGTGCAAACTTATCACACGGAAATGTGAGGCATAATGCCTGAGAATTACAGCTACACGCCATGCTATGTTGTGGTGGATTGGAAACAGAATGTTAGAGAAATTGAGGTCAGCTGACCTTGTAAGAGCAGCATCGTCATAAGCACGTTGCTCTTTTTTTCTCTGTTTACGTACGTAAGGATGACACCTCTCGAAGGGTAAGCACTTCAATGGAACTTGTAAGGGCGCAAGATATCACTGACAGAAATAAACATTGCGCAGCGTAGCTTTGGTCTTTTTTGGCATGTGTTGCGATTTGCAATATTTTCCAGAGAGTTGACAGAAATTGAAGAAGGGCTCCTATAGTTCAAAGGAAAATGTCAGAATCTGGTGGAATTTTTAGGAGTAAACATGTGGTAGTACAGCTTATATTTAAACTGATATTACACTTATAGTACAGCGTATATTACACTTATACTTGCCTTCTTTTTCACTCTCCCTCTATGTACACGAACTTATATACACAGGACATGTATTGATTTACATATGTATAAAATTGTTACAAGCTCCCCATTGACGCTTATATCACTTCGGGATCCGCTTGTCGACGAGGACGGATGCGCGAGCCCTCGCCACTGCCGCCGCCTCCGGATCAATGCAGGGGATAGCGTGCAATTGCTCCCGACGCTGGCGTCTTTCTTCGGTCTCGCGAGCTCTCACCGCGAAGTCGTGGCGGTGGGCCCGTATTGTGGTCGCGTTGCAAGCTCTCCGCGCCACTGCCTTCGCTTGAAAGTTGTTCATGATGAGTATAGCTGCGTGGAGACCGGCATTACCTGAGATACCGCCGATGAGTAAAAAAAGCGTGTTAAAAGCACTCGGGCTCGCCTAGGGCACTTGTGAGCACGGTGCGCCGAGGGACTTGTCCCGAGCAAGAGGAGGTGCGTTCCTGAAAGTCAGCCGAAGTCGCCCATGACGGGAGCCATAATAGTGATAAGTCGGCCACTGTACGGGCTACTTGTTACCTCCTATACGCGTTTTCAAATATGGATCATTCCTACCGCTGTTTATGGGCATGCTTTCTGACAAATTCACGATATATATATATATATATATATATCGAGCAGTGGTAATTATCCACCTCTCAATAATGACATTGCAAGCAGGCACCTGCAATCAAATGTACTTAAAGTGTTCTAAAAAATAAGTTCTCTGCACAGTTAATACTTTAGCTGCTTTTTTTGTGCAGATGCATACAAAACCTCAGCGCTACCAATTCTTTTGTTATCCCGTGTTCTACGACGC